CCACGAGGACAACGCCTCCCACCGCGAAAAGGTCCTCCGGCTCCTGGGGAAGCTGGCGGCACGCTTACACGCCGTCGCTGGGGCGCGCCTCAAAGCGGGCATCAGAGGTGGGGATGGAGAGAAGGGCGGTTGTTGTTGGGGGGATATGTTGGACAATCTCTTATTCATTGGCACCGTTTTTCAATTAGTTTATGTGGGAACCTTGCTTGAGTATTCGCACCTCAAACACCTGCCCTTTCCTCGCACCATCCACGCACTCTACCGCTTCTTTTACCCAGGCGAGGAGGACGCGCATGTGCTGCGGGTGGCGGCCGGGCTGGCCAGGCAGCTCATCGCCCTTGGCCTGAGCGGGATCTACCCCGGTGCCCCTCACAACCCCAAGATCATGAGTCTGAGGATGCTGCACATCTTTTTGAACGAGTTTTCAGAGCTGTGGGCGCCAGAGGCGTCGAGGCCTCGCCCGACATCGCTTCGGGGCGGCACGCCCGGCGTCCTGCGCCTTGACCAATTCAACCCGCTGCCGGCCGACTTCTGGGATCGAAGGACTGTCTATGCGCTGATGGGTACGAGCGCATTTTGTGTGGCTGCTGAGAGGGCTGGATATGCAATGAAAGGGTCCACCAAATGAATTCCCCTTCCCTCTGCCCCCGCCGCAGCTTCCAGCATCGATTCGTGGGACGCCATTCGAGATGCGGCGCTGGCCTGCCTTGCTTGCCTGCCGGCTCCATTCGGCGCCGGGCCCTGGCTCGACGCCTTCAGCGCGCCGCAGCTGGATGTTGTCCAGCTTTCACTCCAGTGGGCGGCTTCCGAGACGGAGGAAACGGCGCAAGCTGGTGCGCAAACGGGTCAAGCGAGTTGATGCGCATCGTTGGTTTTTCAAAGATGTTTGTTCGAGCCTGAAATACTTGTATCCATGCATGCACATGCACCAATTATTCATCTGAGCTACCCTGTGCCGCCCAAATGCAGGCACACGACTGCTGGCGCTGTGGGTCTCCAAGCAGCCCTGGTCGGCTATTGAGTGGGCGACGCCTTCTGGCGAGCTGGCAGTCGCTGCCCCGGAGCGCGACGCCTCCATTCTCCAGCGGGCACTGTTTGATGCGGCGTGCATCTTGCGGGCCGCGCGGGACGAGGCGGACTCGGTCTGGGAGCGTGGCCTGCTCCAGGGGCCCTTTGCAGTGCTGCGGCATCTTTTGCCCGAGCTGCCCTGGAAGTCCCGGGACCCGACAGTTCAAACGCAAGTCCTCCGGGTCTCGCAGCTCGTCCACTCCATGGTGCTCGAGTGCCTGCAAATCACCAGCCCCATCCTGTCCAGGCCCCAGGTACGCTTCCGGAATGAGTGATGATTTTGGGATTTTTAAGCAATCAGTCTTGTGTATATTTCTTGGGTCTTTGCGTTCTTTTATTGAGACAGCAAACACCGTTCGACTACTGACCCGATCCGCCGTCCCACACACCCCGCGCAGGACCACGGAGTTGACGCCGAAGGGGTCCTGGAGATCGAGGCGGCCCTCCCGTCCCACGAAGACCCCGAGGCCGAGGAGAGGCGGCGCCTGGCGGCCCGCCCGCAGCTCATCGTGAGGACCGCCTGGGGAAGCTGCCGGGAAGCCGTCATGCTCTGGAGCTGCCTCTCGCAATGCGTGGTCCTAGATGCCAGCACTGTTGCGCAAGGTGCATCGGTTTGGTCGCCATGCGGGGTTTGATGGAATTGAAAGTGCTGCTGCTTGGTGCGCGGTGATTGACCAAACCAAAATTACAATCCACACACCCCTCGCTTTGAAACCCTCGCACAGAGAACTCCCCCTCTCCAGCCGCTCTCCTCGCGCAAGCAGGCGCCGCGCAGATCGCGCAGATCGGCGACGGCCTGGTCGAGCAGCTCTGCGCCCTCAAGCACAACGGCGCGGTGGAAAAGTGCGCCAAGGCCCTGGCGACCGCGGCGTCCCGCGCGCTGTCCAGCGGCGTCCCCGAGCTGGAGCGCCGGCCGAGCGCATGGCTCGGCCGGTTCCTGGCGCACATGGCCCGCCCGGGCCAGGGCCTCTCCGACATCGTGCGCCGCTCCGCCGGCCTGCCGGCGGGCGTCCTGGCTGTGCTCGCCTGCGACGCGCCCAAGGCTGCGCGGCGGGCCCTGCTGGCCGAGGCCCTGCCGCGCCTGCTGCGCCTGGCCTCGGCCGACGGCCCGGCCTGGGCGGCGCGCGTGCACGCGCTCAACACGCTGCGCCTGCTCTGCTCCTCCTCGGACCTGGCCGAGGGCACGGCGGCCGCGCTCCCGGCCGCGACCGAGGCCTGCCTCGCGTCGCTCGCCAAGCCGCGCTGGGAGGTGCGCAACGCCGGCACGCTCTGCTACGCTGCGCTCCTGACCCGCCTGGTGGGCTACCGCAACGACGCCAGCCACGAGGCCGCCGGCGCGCGGCGCGGGCTCACCGCCTCGGACTTTTTCAGGCGCTTCCCCACGCTCCTGCCCATCATGCTCACGCACGCGAGAACCGCGGCCGCGGGGATGCGGCTCGGGGATGTCACAGGCAGCGGCGTCGCGGACGACGGCGTCCGCGTGCAGGGCCGGGTGTTTCCGGTGCTGGCGCTGCTCACGCGGCTCAGCCCGGGCGTGGAACGAGGCTCCGAGAAGAATGGCCCAGCGTCAAGCGACTGGTTGCCGGAGCTCGCAGAGTTTGTGCAGCCCGTCTCGTCCCTCGCCGCCGCGCCGCAGCTGGCGGTGCGCGAGCTGGCGGCCAGGGCGCTGGTGCCCCTGCTGGCGCCCGGAGATGGCGCCAAGCACGCCGCGAGCATCGCGCGGCGGCTGGCTGGCTGGGCGGGGGCTGACATTTCAAGCCGGTCCGAGAGCACGAATGCCGCGCACGGGATGCTCTTGCAGCTCTGTGAGCTCCTGCCAGCCTGCCAGAGTGCAGCCTGCCAAAAAGAAGAGCTTCATGAGGCGTTTAGGTTGCTGGGGTGAGTCGAGGTTTAATTGAGAGGGGGTGGAAAGTCGGATTCGGTTGTATCGATTTCATAGGATGACAGATCTGATATGATTTCTCACAATACACTGCTCGTTCTTCTTTCAGGTCCTGCATCCACGACCTTGTCTGCGATGATCTTGGCTGCCCACCGCTGGCCGAGGCTCTTCTGGCCGTAGCTGTCACACTTGGACCTCCTTCTCCTGGCACCTCTGCGTCTGAGAGCTCATTTATTGTCGAGGCGGCGACTGCGAGTCGGAGAGTCCTGTTGCGGTACGATGGTTGGTTGCTGTGGACGGGGCAGAGTGCAAAATCGCACGTTTGGCCGCTTTGCAGAATGTTTAAGCTGAGGGCTGATGCTCACCTGGTTTTACGCTGTTGTTGCTTTTTGTTTCTCAACCACAGGGCTCTTGAAGATCAGCAATGGTATGAACAGCTGTCCCGGAGGCCCATGGGGCCCGCCACTGCTCCGACAGGCGGCCAGGCTCTTTTCGCTCATGGCCTCCGAAATCGATGGCGCAGCAGGTCGGTTGGAATGAGGAGTGCTCGATGAGTGCAAGAGAGGGTCATACTACTAAACATGCTGCAAGGACTCACGTGTGCTCCCTTACTGGCCCAGATTTGATGGCAAGGCTGCTGGCGTCGGACATCCCAGAGGCCGCGGCGGTGATCGCAGAGCGCCTCCTTGCTCAAGGAGAAGAGGGAATGCAGCTGGCCCTGCCACACAACGTGGATCTGCTGTCCATCGCAGACCGCCACTGGCACCAAGGGACCAAGCTGCCGATGCTGAGTCTCGCCGTGCGTCGCCTCCCTGGGGAGGCAGGCAGCGCACAGCGATCGTGGCACCTGGCAACGCACGGCTCGGACGCGCAGCGCGCGATCGCGCTGCGCGCGCTTTCCAGTGCCGCAAGTGCGACTCCCGAGACGGCGCCCTGCGCGTCGCAGGCGCTGCAGGCCATCGCGGCCTGCTCGGAGCCGACGCGGCCGGAGGAGCTGCGGGCGGCGGCGGCCGCGGCCCTCGCTCGGGTCCCAGACCCGCTGCCCCGGCCCGACTGGTGGCGCCTGGCGGCGACGTTGCTGCAGGACGACGACGCGGCCGTCCGCCGGGAGACTGTGGGCGCGCTGGCGGCTGCTCTGGACGACCAAGAGCTGCTCCGGCTCTGTGACGCCGCGGCCACGGCCCGCTTTGCGCGCCTGGTCGCCGAGCGCTGCCCCGCCAGGCCCGACCTGCTCCTGGCCTCCTGGGTCTGGGACCCGGAGCGGAATGACATGGTCAAGGAAGATGCCGGGGTCAAACGGGTCTACCAGGTGGACCCGGACAACACCTATGCGGACGCCGTTCGGCTTGCGCAGGTAAGAGAAGGGGGGGTGGATTTTCTCAGAATGTGTGCAGTGCTTATGAAGATAGGGAGATGTGCACAGGAATTGAAAAGTGGATGCCTGCTTCGACACCATTCGCTCGCCTCTTTTCACGTCGCGCAGTTGGCGGCGACTGCACTGCAAAGCGTGCTGCCCAGCGGGCCAGACGCCGAGCTTATGGCCTGGAGTGACCAGGTGGTAACAGCTCTGCGCAGGGCCCAGGACGCAGGCTCTGCCGACTGGGCGAATCCCTCGTCCTTTATCGTGTTGGCGCAGACCCTGCTGGCGGCTGAAATTGTGCTACAATGGGAGCCCTGGGCAGAGGGGCAGGACGCGACAGCACTGCGCTCGATCATCGACCAGCAGCGGGCGAATTGCCCGATAGATGTGCGTCGCGTCATCTCCAGCCTGTAAAAGGGGCCAAAGGGCCTTTTGTTACGGAATCAGTGTGGCAAATGTCATCTATACATACAAGTACCAGCAGTCAGGTCACTCTGATCCCTCCAGAAGCAAGTATGTCTTATCGCTGCCTAATACCGAGCAGGGATTGACAAAGGAGATTCTAAAGTATAACAATGTCCGCTCCCTTGATGGACGCAAAGTATCAAAATTTGCACTCCTGAATCGCTTCCAAAGTTGATTTTGAAAAAATGCCGAAAATGCAGCCAAAATGCGCATTTGCAAAAGGGTTGACACAGGAAGGGGTCGAACCTTCGACCTTCCGCTCCGTAGGCGGATGCTCTATCCATTGAGCTACAGTGCCGTCGTGTTTGAACACACGCGCTTGTCTTGAGATGGAAGGGCATCCAATCTTGGACATTATATCTGTGGCCAGTCATTCGCGAGCGACTAAAGAATTCGGTCCTCGGTCGCTCGGGTTTGCCGGCAAGGGCAGCGGACCAAGGATTCGCGACACTAATTGCGACAACGAATCTCTAATCTTGATACTCGAGGACATGCTATGCAGACTTATTCGCGAATAATCTTATACTATTTCTCAGAGAGCAAATGCATGCGCGGCAATAAATAGGCAGGAGATGTTTGGACGGGCAGACCTCTGCAACGCCACTGGCGACTGAACGACGGGACTCGCAACACTCGCCAGCGCATGATGCGCCCACCGCGCCTCACGCCGGCTGCGGCAAGGCCTCTGGCGTGCGCTTTGGGTACCTTCCGCCGTGCTTCCTCACCGCGGCGGGCTGCTCCTCGTTCGGCGGCGCCCGCTCCTGCAGGTCCAGGAGAGCGCGCTCTATCCGCGCCGTCAGCTCCCTCCAGACCTGGATATTTGGATGGTGTGAGGTGCGCAACGAGGTCTGTGAGTGCAGCTCGTGCCAAGGAAGCAAACAGCACCGGCCCCTCGCGCACCTCCTCCTGGTTGACCCCGGCGCGGTTGCAGTTGCAGGCGACGTCCTCGATCTGCACCGGCTCGCCGACCAGCACGTGCACGCGCTGGCCGACCTGCGGGAGCCTGGCCCGGTAGGGCATGACCCGGCCCATGCCGCTGTGGTAGAAAGGGAGCACGACGGGCGCGCGCCCGCCGCTGGCCGCCACGGCGTCGCACACGACGCGGCCCACGCCCCAGCGCAGCGCGCCCAGCGTGCCCGTGTACACGACGCGGCCCTCGGGAAAGATGTGCAGCCAGTCGCCCCGGCCCACGGCGCGCCCCACGCCGCGCATGCTGAGCTGGTCCAGCCCGGCGCCGCGGTCCACGGGCAGCGTCTTGCCGGACTGGAAGAAGGCCGCCAGCAGCGGGTTGCGGTAGCACATCTCTCGAGCGCACAGCGACCAGCGCACGCCGTGGTGGCGGTGCTCGGAGAAAAAATAAGAGAGCGGCGTGATGGCGGAGAGCAGCCCGGGGTCGTCCAGGGTGCTGCACAACGGGTTTGAAGGGGTGGGGATGTGAGATTTTCTGTGACACTTTGATGCTTCATGCTATCACCTGGACACCCGAGTTCCGGATCAACAAACAAACTCATTCACTGCCCTCGCACCACCCACACCGACACAAATCCACAAACCTGGTATGGTTGGAGACCGTGATCAGGCCCACGCCGGGGTCCCGGTGCAAGACATGCTCCAGGAACCGCTCCTCATTCTCCGTGGTCAGCGTGTTGAAGACGTTGAGGACGAGCTTGCTGAGGCCGGCCACCACGCCCAGCGTGAGGCTGCGGCCAAGCTCACCCCAGGGAGCCCTCAAAAGCTCCTCCTGACTCGAGAGGTCATCGGGTTCAATCAAGGAATCCATGGGGGGCCTATCGCATGCCTCAGGGTGTTGACTAATATGCTCGGCGCAGCGCCCGGCTGGATAGTGCGGCCCGGGCTGCCAGGGCTCCTACTCCTCAAACTTGCCTCCTCGGAATGTGTGGCCGACTTTGCAAAGTATTCTAGCACTTGTGTCGCTAGAAAATCGTATAGTATCCCGTCCACCATCCCATGAATTGGCCGGAAAGATCCCTGTGATCCGGATAATCGGTGCCTGCCTCTCCCAGTGCGGATGCTAGGTGGCAAATGGGCGAGTGCGTCCCGTCGTCGCAGCCCCGACACGAGGGCCCTGGCCAACCGATCAGTCCAAACAGACATGAGCAACAGCAGTGTGCATGCATCATTGGCGTAAAAAATGAGATCCTCATGAACGCACTGGCCTGCCTGGCATGGAAGGGGTCCCTGGCCAGTACTCGCGAGATCACTTGCTGTCCACGAAACAGGTAGGTACAGACGCGACCTGCTGCTCATAGTATATATGCTGAGATAAACATTTACATACATCGAACACGACTGGTCAGGTATCGCAATGGCTGTTGAGCCGCAACTATCTGCTGACGGCACTCGAGCTTCTCCTGGAGGCTGGCGACGCCGGCCGGGAGGAGGATGTCGAGTTTCTGGAGCAGCTCTTTTCCGATCCCGCGCTCTTTCCGCCAGAAGAAGTGGCTGCATTCACCGGAAAGGCAGGCAAGTCGAGACTGTGGATGCGCGGGAGGGGGGAATTGTTATGGAAACGCAGCTCACTTGACGCGTGCCCGCTCCTCTCTGCAGCGCTTGATGTCCAGGAGACGGCTCGGAAGCGCGAGGAGCGGCTTGCAGTGGTCGAGTACGAGCTCTGCATCGCCAGGGAGGACCTGCAGGCGCTGGAGCGGGGGGAGGGGGGCGCGATCGTCGGCCGCCGCGCCAGCGTGGCCGCCAGAGGAGCCAAGCAGCCATTGGAAAGCGCGGGCGCGTCGCCGCGCCCGCCGCCCCCCTCGTCCTCCCCCCGGGTCAAGTCGTCGCGCCAGCGCCAGGTGCTGAACGACATCGTGCTGCAGTACCTGCTGAACCAGGGGTACCGCGTGACCGCCGGGACGCTGCGCTCGGAGGCCGGCAGCGGCGTGGCCCCCGCCGCGGCGGCCGGGGGCGCGGGCCAGGCCACGGGCGCGCCCGGACCTGCCCGCCTGCTACGCGGCCGTGGCCTCGCTGCACGACGCGGAGGAGCGCATCGCGGAGCTGGAGGAGGACCTGCGGGCCGCGCGCGAGGAGGTGGCCTGGCGACGCGAGGAGGGCGAGCGGCGCGAGGCCGAGCTGGCAAGCCGGCTGGAGGAGCGCGCGCGCCTGCTGGCGGCCGTGGACTTTGAGCGGTCGCGTGTCCTGGCGCTGGAGGAGGCCGTGGTCGCCGCGCAGCTGCGGGCCGACGGCATTGCTTTGGGCGGGGAGGAGGAGGAGGAGGAGAATGGGTCGGCGGGTCGAGGCCAAATTGCTGCTGCCGAGGGCAGCACGCGTGAGGACACCGGGCAGACGCCTCCCAGCACCAATGACCAGCCACCTTCTCTGCCAAGCACCAAGCGCCCGCCAGCGTCGCCGCGGCGGCACGCGGCCGCGCGCGCGGCGCGCTCGGCGCTGGACGCGGCGGCCGAGGCGCTGCCGCGGCTGCTCCCGCACGTGCTCATCAACCGCCGCGTGGAGGCGGTGGAGGCGCTGCTGGCGCTGGCGCGGGACCACCCGCGCCTCGAGACGCGCGTGGCCACGACCGAGGCGCTGCTGCACATCATCAAACGCCCGTCCGGCGAGCAGCGCGCGGCCGTGGCGGCGGCGCTGGCCACGCTCTGCGCGGGCCTCAGCCCCGCGCGTGCAGACGGAGGTGCTGCCCGCGCTGTGCGGCATGGCCGCGGCCGAGCACGCGGAGCGGCGCGTGCTCCTGGCGCAGTGCGTCGCGGCCGCGGCGCGCGCGCTGCCCGCGCCCGCGCTGGCCGGGACCGCGCTGGGCCTGCTCGAGCACTTGGCCGCCGACGCCGAGCCGAGCGTGCGCCTCGCCGCGTCCGAGGCGCTGCGCGGCCTGCTGCGCGGCGACCTCGGCGCGGGCGCGGGCGAGCGCGTCGCGCAGTGCCTGCTCGCCCTCGCCCTGGACGAGGAAAGCGTGGACGTCGCGGCGGACGCGCAGGGCGGGCTGCTGCCGGCCGTGCTCGAGTGGGCGCGCCGCGGCGACGCCGTGGGGCCCGCCGTCCTCAGACAGCTGTGCCCGCTGCTCGTCTCGGAGCTCGTGCGTGCGCTGCAGCAGGCACCCTTTGTCTCCGGCACGCCCGAGGCCTTTGTCGTGGACGGCACCGCCGTGCTGCGCTCGCCCTCGGCCGCCATCGCCTGGCGGGTGCGCGCGCCGTGATGATCAATGTGTTTTGGCGGTCTCGTGTGAATTGAATACCTTGATTGATCACGTATCATTCAAAATGCATTCCTCCCACGTTCTGCAGGCCATGGCGCTGCTCCAGATGCTTTCGAGCGTCGTTCCGTTCCTGCACGAGCAGGCGGCGGCCGCCTTTGCCGCGCAGCACGCAGAGGCGGAGGAGGCGCAGGGCCCGCAGGATGCTCCGGCGCAGGAGGCCGCCCCGCACACGTATGCGGATGCGATCGCAGCATGGGCGCAGGACCGCGCCCGCCCGGCGAGGGCCCAGCACGCGGGCGCCCCCAGAGACAACCTGCTGCCGGAAATTCTGGAGACCCTGGTCCTGACCGTGGCTGCCACCCTGGTGGACGTCACGCGGATGCTGGCCCCCGTCCCGGAGACCAAGGGCCTCCGGCAGCGGTGCGCGGCCCTGTTCCAGGAAATTTGCGCGGGCGGCGACGAGCGCTTTGCACGCTCCGGCGTCGAGCCCCTCCTGCGCGCGGCAGGTTTGTGCGGGCGGGGTTGGATGCGCACTGTGTGTGAGGTCAACAGGACATTCTGGGTACATGCTGGAAAACGAGACAAACCACTACTCCCCTTCCGATACCTTGCGCAGCCGCGCTGCCGGCGTGGTGCGTCCTGCCCGCGCCCTTCTGGCGCGCACGTTCAGGAAGCCGCGAGGAAGCTGGCCCCCTGCACCACGCCCGCGGAGCTGGCGGGTCCCTGGACGGCGCTGCCGGCGCTGCTGGCCGGCGTGCTCCCCAGTGCGGGCGCCAGCGCTGCGCACGACCTGCTGCTGCGGCTGGCGGCGGGCGGGGAGGCGGCGTGGGCGCTGCAGAACGTGCACGCGCTGACCCACGCTGTGCGCTTTGCCGCGGCGGAGAGCGCCGCGGTGCGGGGCCAGGCGCTGGAGTTTGTTGAGGACTGCGCGGGGGCCCCGGCCGCGGTGGCGCGGGTGTGCGCCGCAGCAGTGGCCGCGGCCGTCGCGCCGACCCTGGCGTCAGAGGCGGCGGTCGCAGCCCTCGTGCTGCCGCCGCTGCGGCGCATCCTGGCCGAGCCGCGGCCGAGCCGAAGCTCCGAAACCGTGGACGCGCCCGTCTCCGCGCCCGAGGCCCCGTCCCCGGCGCAGCAGGCGG